TCGAAAGATCGAGAAATCGAAACATCAAAAAACTGAAAAAACTAAAATTTAAAAATTAAAAATAAAATTGAAAAATCGGGAAATCAATCCAAACATCAAAAATCGAAAAATTGAAATATCTGAAATTTGAAAAATCGAGAAATTGAGAAGTTGAGAGAACGAAACACTAAAAAGTCGAGACATCGAAAAGTGAAAAAATCAAAAAATCCGTAAATCGAGAAATTGAAAAATGGAAAAATAAACATTTTAAAAATTGAAAAACCGAAAAATTTAAAACGGAGAGGTCGTAAAATCGAAAATGGACAATTGAAAAATCTACAGTTTAAAAATTCCGAAACTGAAACATCGAAACATTGAAAATCGAACAATTCAAATATCCCAAAACTGAAACATGGAGAAACAGAAAAATTGAAAAACCAAAACCTGACAATCGAAAAATTGTAAACAGGAATAACTGAAAAATCGAAGAGTCGAGAAATCGAGAAATCGAAAAGTCCAAAAATCAAAAATCGATTAATCGGGAAAGCCAGAAAAATCTAAAACCTGAAAATTTGAAGAATTGAAAAATCGTGGAATCCGAACATCAAAAAATCGATCAAATGAAATACAGTATTGTCCGGTTATAATGAACCCGCTTGTAATGAACTTCCGGCTATAGTGTACTGTATTTCAAGTAACGAAATTTTTTCCATATATCTAATGTATTTTTTTTCGGTTATAATGAACCACTGAATCCGCTTGTAATGAACTTTCGGATAAAATGAACTAAATATTATTCAAAATAAAGTGCAGTTTTCCGTTTATAATGAACTTTTCGGGGATTCCCTGATTTACGCGCTACGCATTTCCCCACCAACTTGCTTTCTGTGCCAGTCGATTCTTGGTCACTGTGTCGAAGTAGCGCTACATAAGTACTTACTTGTGTAATAACATTGTTCGAAATGGAAAAACAAAAACGTAAAGCTCTAACCTTAAAGGACAAGTATGATATTATACAAAAAATACAAAGTGGTGTTAAACAACGCGATGTTAGCCAGGAAATGAACTTGATAAAATCCACTGTTTCTATGATATGGAAGCAAAGAGAAGCCATTTTATCAGCGTATGGTCAGGGAAATTCTACGTGTAAAAAAATGAGAAAATCAAAGCACCATGAAATGGATCAAGGGCTTCTTAAGTGGTTTACACAAAAAAGACAAGAAAACGTTCCTGTAAGTGGTATTATTCTACAAGAAAAAGCTAATGAAATGGGTAGTAAAATCGAAAACAAAGACTTCAAGTGTTCTAAAAGTTGGATTGAACGTTTTAAAAGAAGACATAATATCCGAACAGGAAAAATTGTGGGTGAGTCTGCAGCAGTAGATTTGAATGTTGTTAATGACTGGTTAACTAATGTTTGGCCTCATATTCGGAAAAACTATGACAGTGAAGACATTTTTAACGCTGATGAGACAGGGCTCTTTTATCAAATGACTCCTGATAAGACTTTAAAATTTGTGGGAGAAAGTTGTGCTGGAGGAAAGTTATCTAAATTGAGGATTACAGTTTTAGTAGCTGCCAATATGTCTGGAACAGAAAAAAGGAAATTGTTGGTTATAGGCAAATCTGCCAATCCTAGATGTTTCAAAAATAAACAATTGCCCGTAAAATACAAATCAAACCGTAACGCGTGGATGACCTCTGAAATTTTCACAAATGAACTGCTTGAATGGGATGAACAATTAAAACAAAAAAATAGGAAAATTGTACTTTTAGTTGATAACTGTACAGCTCACCCTGAGATTAAACTAAACCAAATTAAATTAGTTTTTATGCCACCGAATACGAGTTCAAAATTACAACCGATGGATCAAGGTGTAATTCATTCATTAAAGAGCCATTATAGGAAAATTTTACTCGCGCAGATGATAGAGGCTATGGACAACGGAAAAACATTTTCAGTTAGCATTTTAGATGCTGTAAATTTTATTCACATGGCTTGGCAAAAGGTTAGCAAAGATACAATAGCAAACTGTTTCAAGCATGGAGGATTTTCTGAAAAAAGTGCTGAATTTGATGCAGACGATGAGCTTCCCCTAACAGAATGGTTAAAAAAACATGAAGATGATCCTGGACTTATTTTCACAGATGTGGATAATGCAATTGAAATTGCAGTGCAAGAGAAAATCGGGGAATTTAATTTTGAAGAATATGTGGAAATTGATAACGACATAACGGTAACAGAAAGACTAACTGACGAGCAGATTATAGAATCAGTGACATCAGTCATGGCAACAAGTGACGAGGCCGAGGGTGAGGAAAATGAGTCTGATGAAGATGTTGATGTTTATGTTCCTTCTCTTAATGAAATGGCGCAAAAAATGGCAGAGACTCGCAACTTTTTAGAATCGCGCACTGTTCCGGAGCCTATATGGAACAGCTTTTGCAACCTCGAACGCTATATTAGTGACATTCACTTTTCTAATAGATATGTACAGACAAAAATAACTGATTTTGTCAAGTAGACTTGTGTTTATGTGACGTCTTGTTATATGTAATTACATAAATAGCTATGTTTTTTTTTATTTTTAGTTTATAAACCAAGAAATATTTTTTGAATTGTTCCCAACGTAGAATTGAAGTAAATTGAATTTAAACAAACGCAGTTTTTATTTTTCCGTTAATAGTGAACTTCGGATATAATGAACTAGTTTTGTTACATTTTTTGAGTTCATTATAACCGGACGCTACTGTATCTGAAAAATCTGAAATTTAAAAACTGAAAAATGAAAAAAAAAACTCGAGGAATCAAAATTTTGAAAAACCGAAGAAAAATTGAGATGAGTAGAAAAACTGAACAATCGAAAGTCGAGAAATCGAAAAATCAATAATTTGAAAAATCGAGAAATTGAGAAGTCGGAGAAACGAAACAAAAAAATCGAGAAATGAGAAAATCAAATAATAAAAAAATTGAAACATCGAGAAATAAAAAGTCAGAAAATCAAAAAATCGGTTAATAGAGAAATTGAAAAATGGAAAAAACGAAAAATTGAAAAATCACATTTTAAAAATTGAAATACCGAAAAATTTAAAACGGAGAAGTCGAGAAATCGAAAATGAACAATTGAAATATCTACAATCTAAAAATTCCAAAACCGAAATATCGAAAAATTAAAAATCGAAAAAAAAAAATAGAAAAATTTAAATATCCCAAAACCGGCAATTTAAAAAATCAAAAAAATTCGAAAATCCAAAGTCGAAAAATAGAAAGATCGAGCAGTCGAAACAAATGTTGAACAGTTGAGAAATGCGAAACTTGAAAAATCGAGAAATCAAGAGATCGAAAAGTCGAAAAATTAAAAAAATCGAAAAACCTGATATGTCAAGAAATCGAATAAAAATTAAGTCGAAAAATGGAAATATCCAAGAATATAAAATTAAAAAAAAAAATAAAAATAATCGGAAAATCGAACAATCAAAAATCGAAATATCTGAAATTTACAAATCCAAAATTCGAGGAATCCAGAAGTCGAAAATTCAAAAAATCGAAAAATTAAAATATGGAAATATTGAAAAATTCCCAAAATTGAAATGTTGATCAAAAAATTTTAAAAATCGAAAAACCGATTTCAAGAATTCGAATAAAAATGCCGTAAAAAAATAAAAACCTGAAGAAGTTGAGAGGACGCAACACTGAAAAGTCGAAAAATCGAAAAGTGAAAAAATAAAAAAATCGGTTAATCGAGAAATTGAAAATTAAAAAATCGAAGATGTCGAAAAATCGAAAATCCCAGAAATCCCAAAACTGATATATCGAAAAACGAAAAATCGACGAAAAATTGAAGATTTGAAAAATTCAAATATGCCAAAATTGAAACATGAAGAAATAGAAAAATTGAAAAACCAAAACCTGATAATCGAAAAATTGAAAAAAGGAAAAACTGAAAAATCGAGTCGAGGAATCCAGAAGACGACAATGCGAAAAGTCAAAAATCAAAAATCGATTAATGGAGAAAGCGGGAAAATTCGACAATTTAAAAAATCTAAAACCAGAAAAATTGAAAAATCGGGAAATGGAAAAATCAAAAAAACGAAACGTCAAAAAATTAAAAAACTGAAACGTCGAGAAATTAAAACATCAAAAGATCGAGAAATCAAGAAGTAGAAAAATCGCAAAATTGAGAAATCTGAAAACTCGAAAAGTGAAAAAATAAAAAAAATCCGTTAATCGAGAAATTGAAAAATGGAAACATCGAAAATTTAGAAACTTCAAAAATTGAAAAACCGAAAAATATAAAACCGAGAAGCCGAAGGATCGAGAATTCGAAAACATTGAAAAATCGAAAAATTGAAATATCGCGAAATCGAAAAAATTCAATAGTCAAAAAATAACTGGGTATGAACGGATAAATTTGAAAATTATCATGCTTCCGATAACCTTAAAACGTTTGCAAAATTTCGAAACATTCGATTTTGCAATTTCAAAATTATGTAAATTATAAAATGATTTACAACTTTGAAAATGTAAAATTTTTAAGAATCTTTTAAAGATGCTAAATATTCCCTAAGTTATAGAGATTTTTGGGAATTCAAAACTCCAAACAGCTTAAAAAAATAACAATTAGGAAATTTCATAAATTTGCGTTATTTTTGCAATATCTGACGTTTAAAAAGTCTATAATTTTTTTAATGGTTGTACGATTCTGGAGATTTTAGAAATTTGGAATTTCAAATTCTTTAAAAAATCCACATTCTGAAGTTTATAGATTTAAGAAATTCTTTAAAACACTTCAGAAACGTTATGTCTTAGAACCATAACCAATTAAAAATGTTAACACCAACTACGAATTTACAATAACCAAACAAAAATTGACATCATCGAAATTTCACATTTCAGATTAAAAAAGCATTAATATTACTCTCGTTGGAGGAAGACTGTGGCGTCAAATGCGATTCATTTCGTTTAACCAACACTTTGGGGTTCGAACTTAAATGTCAGTATTTTACAACAAGTATATTACCTGGTTACTACGATGCGTCCTACCGAACTGCTGGATCGCCCTATCCGCCGACCACGGCAACTCCAACGTAATGTGAACCCTCCTCTTCTGGTTCTTCACCCTCCTGTCACTCTGCAACGAAATACCAGTCGAGGCCGCCTCAGAAATAATCGCTATGTTCTTCTCGCCGTCCATGAATCGTTGTTTTTCGGTCATGTTCAAGGCTTCTAGAGAGACGCCCGTTTCGGCGCGACTTTCGTACTGGACGTCCCCATTTTCCGTGTGCACGACGCGGCCCTTTCGACCTGTCATTTCGGCGACTACTTGGGCTCCCCCGAGCTCGTGAATTAGTTGATCGAGGGTGTTCGGGGGAAGTTTTTTGCCCAGATGTTCGATTTCTTGCAAGAGGGTTTCTTTCATGGCGGCGACGTCTCTGACGGACGACATGAAGTAAGAGGTTTCTGAAAAATAAAAGCGGAAATGAAAGTACTATGCGATTTTTTTGTTTTTGAATAAGGTTACTCACTTTCCTGCGGCTCCTCTTTTTCCGTTTTTATATCTTCCAACTTTATTAATTTGGAATCGGTGTCGTCCTGAGGTTCCTCTTTCACAGTAGTTTTTCCTTTCGATTTCGTCCCGCGAACTTCCCACAGGTCGGTGTCAGAACCGCTGTCACCTTCGCTAATTTCGTTGGCACTGAAATCGCTATCGTTTGGAGAGTTTATTTCTTCATCGCTGTCGTCGTCAGAAAGCACGTATTTGGACCGATTTTGGGGAATCTCTTTCTCCATGGAAATTTTCATCCGTTTTGCAGTTACGCGAGCACTTTGTCGCACTACATTTATACATTTTTTTTTTAATAGATATGAAACAAATACATGTATAATACAAATTACTCCTATTACCTTTGCGTTTTCCTAATATTTTGGACGGATTTTCGTCGTCGTCTGGGTCTTTTTTCAACTTAAACAAATTTTTTGGCAGTTTATGTTTTTCTAATTTTCGGTTTTCTTTGCCACCCAGTGAAGGAAATTGTGTTTCGACTAAATTTTCAAACACAGCTGGAAAACATAATACCGTGACAATAAATTAATTTTGTTCAGTAGTGACGAATACTCTATGATCAAATAATTATTATTACCATTAATAATATCACTATTATCAAAGAAATCTGTAGAGAAGGGGATGGGATAAATATTGATTTTACAATTTGTAAGTATTAATTTAAGTGATTCTTGATGGAGTAAAAATGTTATCAAAAATAAAACTGTGTAACAAATTTACAATTAAACTTTAAGATTGCTAATTTTGTCGAATAAATATTATTTAAATGTTAAAAAATTATGCTATGAAGCTCTGAACTTGTGGTTTATGAATCCGTGTTGAATTTTTATCCTAGACATCGAGATTTATTTTTAATTTTCCCTTTTCTCGATTTTTCGATGATTTAAGTTTTCAGTTTCGATTTTACAATTTTTCGAATTTTTAATTTTTTGATTTTTCAGTTTTTTGATGTTTTGATTTCTAGATCTTTCGGATTTTCGCCTTTCGGTTTTGGATTTCTGACTTTTTAAATTTTTCGAGCTTGCAAATTTTAAACAAATGAAATTGAAAAACTGATTCATTTTTTGACTTTTTGCTTTTTCGATTTTGGCCTCTTTCGATTTCTAGGTTTTTCGATTTTTCAATTTATGCATTTCACAATTTTTCGTAATTTCGGTTTTGGAATTTTTCAATTTATTGAAAGCTCAATTTTCCGACGATTCAGTTTTACGATTTCTCGACTCTCCAATGTTTCAATTTTTTGATTTTTCAATTTTGGTCTCTTTTAATTTCTCAATTTCTCGATTTGTAGACTTCTCGATTTTCTGATGTTTCGATTTCTCGATGTTTCGGTGTTTCAATTCTTCGACTTCTCGGTGTTTCAAATTTTTTAACCTTTCGACTTTCCGATTTTTTGATTGTTTAAAATTTAGATTTTCGATTTCTAGGTTTTTTGACTTCGATTTCTAAATCTTTCGATATTTTAAATTTTTAAATCTGAAATTTTTCGAGTTTTCAAATTTTATATTATTCAATTTTTAACTTTTGATTTACCGATTAATCGATTTTTTGATTTTCTCATTTCTCGACTCTCCATTGTTTCAATTTTTCAGTTCTTCAATTTTTCGATTCTTTGGGGATTTGATTTTTCACTTTTTTGAAGTTTTAAATCTTCGATATCTCAGTTTTTTGCGGTTTCGATTTCTCGGTTTTTGATTTCTGAATTTTTAATTTTTCGATATTTTAATTTTTGAGATTTAAAATTTTTCAATTTTTTAAATTTTACATTTTTCATTAACATTTTTTTTCGATTTTGGACTCTTTCGATTTCTCGAACTTTTGATTTTCTCATATCTCGACAAACCATTGTTTCCATTTTTCAGTTTTTCCATTATTCAGTTTTTCGATTTTTTAGGTTTTTGATTCTTCAATTCTTCGATTATTCAGTTTTTTGATGTTTTGATTTCTCGATGTTTCGATTTCCAAAATTTTCAATTTTTCGGTTTCTGATTTTTTCGATTTCGCCTTGTCTCAGTTTTTTAATTCATCGATTTCTCGGTTTTTCAATTTTTTGACTTTTGCGACTACAGGATTTTTAGATTGTTTAAAATTTGGATTTTCGATTTCTCGGGTTTTTTGACTTTTGTCAGATTTTAATTTTTAAATTTCTGAATTTTTCAATGTTTTAATTTTTGAAATTTTAAATTTTTCGATTTTTTAAATTTCACATTATTCAATTTTCAACTTTTTGGTTTTTCGATTATGGCCTCTTTCGATTTCCCGGTTTTTTGATTTTTTAGTTTTTCTATTGCTCAATTTTACGATTTTTTCAGATTTTCGATCTCTCAATTTCTCGATTTTTTATTTTCTCATTTCTCGACCCTCCGTTGTTTCAATTTTTTGAATTTTTAAATTTTCGATTTTTTTTATTTTTAAATACTTTTTGGTTTTTCGATTTTTTTTATCTCTTTCAATTTCTCAGTTTTTCGATTTGTCCACTTCACGATTTCTCGGTTTTTAAATTTTTTGATGTTTCAAGTCCTCGATCTTTCAGTTTTTCGATATTTTATTTTTTTTAATTTTAGATTTTAGGATATTTGTTTTTCAATTTTTGGAATTTTTAAATTCTTAATTTTTCAGTTTTTGGTTTTTTGATATTTTGAATTCTTGATTTTTCGATTTTTAAAATTTTTCGACTTTTCGGTTTCTGAATTTTTAGATTTTTCAGTTTTTCAATTCTTCGATTTCTCGGTTTTTTAATTTTTTGATGTTTCAATTTCCTGATGTTTCAGTTTTTCGAAATTTTATTTTTTTAATTTTAGATTTTACCATAGTTCCATTTTTCAATTTTTCGAATTTTTTAATTTTTCTGTTTTTTGGTTTTTCAATTTTTTAAATTTTGATTTCTTGATTTTTAGCTTTTTTAAGTTTTTCGATTTCTCGATTTTTCAATTAGGTGTCGATGTTTTGATTTTGCGATGTTTCAATTATTCGGTTTCTGAATTTTTAGATTTTTCAGTTTCTCGATGACTCGATTTTTCGATGTTTCAGTTTTTCAATTTTTTGACTTTTCGACTATACGATTTTTTGACTGTTTATAATTTGGATTTTCGTTTTCTCAGTTTTTCGACTTTTGAATTTTAGATTTCTGCATGTTTCGATTTTTTGATGTTTCAATTTTTTATATTTTCATTCTTGAGTTTTGGCTTTTTAAACTTTTTCAACTTTTCAATTTCTCGATCTTTCAGTTTCCCGATGTTTCGATTTTTAATTTCACATTTTTCAACGTTATTTTTAAAGTTTTTGATTTATCGATCTTTTGATGTTTCGACTTCTCAATGTTTCAGTTTTTCAACTTCTCGATTTTTCAATTTTTTTATTTTAGATTTCTGAATTTTTAGATTTCTCTCTCTCAATTCTTCGATTTTTTGATGTTTCAATTTCTCGATCTTTCAGTTTTTCGATGTTTTATTTTTGAAACTTTTTAAATTTTTGGATTTTTTTTTAATATACCGATATCTCAATTTTTCGATATATTTTGATGTTTCGATTTTTGACTTTTCGGTTTTTAAAATTTTTCGATTTCCCGATTTTTTAGTTTTTCAACACTTCAATTTTGGCAAGTTCCATTTCTGTTTTTTTTACGATTTTTTGATTTTTTATATTTCACATTTTCCAATTTTCAATTTTTTTACTTTTCGATTGTTTTAAAATTTGGATTTTGGATTTCTCGGTTTTTTGACTGCAATTATTCAATTTTTAAATTTTAGATTCCTAAATTTTTAAGTATTTTAATTTTTGAAATTTAAAATTTTTCGATGTTTTAAATTTCACATTATTCAATTATTTAACTTTTTGGTTTTTCGATTTTGGCTTCTTTCAATTTCTCAGTTTTTCTATTGCTCAATTTTTCGATTTTTCAGATTTTCGATTCTCAATTTCTCGAGTAATCGATTTTTTGATTTTCTCATTTCTCGATTGTTCCCGATTGTTTCAATTTTTCGAATTTTTAGTTTCGACTTTTCAGTTTTTTGATGTTTCAATTTTATCGATCTATCAATTTCTAAAATTTTTGATTTTCCGATTTCTGATTCTTTGGATTTTTCAGTTTTTCGATGTTTTTAATTTTTAACTTTTTGATTTTTCGATTTGTCGACTTCTGGATTTCTCAGTTTTTCAGTTTTTTGATGTTTCAATTTCTGAACTTTCAGTTTTTCGATATTTAATTTTTTAAATTCTTAATTTTTCGGTTTTTTGAATTTTCAACTTTTTGATATTTTGAATTCTTGATTTTTCAATTTTTATAGTTTTTCGACTTTTAGATGTTTCAATTTTTTTAATTTGACATTTTTCAATTTTTAACTTTTTGATTTGCGATCTTTTGATGTTTCGATTTCTCGATGTTTCAGTTTTTCAATTCTTTGATTTCTCGGTTTTTCAGTTTTTTGACTTTTCGACTATACGATTTTTCGACTGTTTAGAATTTGGATTTTCGATTTCTCGAACTCGAAAAAGACTTTTCAATTTTTAAATTTTAGATTTCTGAATGTTTCGATTTTTTGATATTTGAATTTCTTGATGTTTCAGTTTTTCGATATTTTATTTTTGAAACTTTTTAAATTTTAGATTTTTCTAATTTTTTTTTAGTTTTCCGATATCTCAATTTTTCGATATTTTGATGTTTCAATTTTTGGCTTTTCGGTTTTTAAAATTTTTCGATTTCTCGATTTTTCAGTTTTTCAACATTTCAATTTTGGCAAGTTGGCATTTCTGGATTTTTCATATTTCACATTTTCCAATTTTTAATTTTTTGATTTTTCGATTTTAGTCGCTTTCAGTTCCTCATTTGTCGACTTCTCGATTTCTTGATCTTTTCATGTTTCGACTTCTCCAGGTTTCAGTCTTTGAATACTTCGATTCCCCTGTTTTTCAATTTTTTGATTGCAATTTTTCAATTTTTAAATTTTAGATTCCTAAATTTTCAAGTATTTTAATTTTTGAAATTTAAATTTTTTAAGTATTTTAATTTTTGAAATTTTAAATTTTTCGATCTTTATAATTTCACATTATTCAATTTTTAACTTTTTGGTTTTTTGATTTTGGTTTCTTTCGATTTTTCAGATTTTCGACTCTCACTTTCTCGAGTAATCGATTTTTTGATTTTCTCATTTCTCGACTGTTCCCGATTGTTTCAATTTTATCGATGTTTCTATTTCTAAAATTTTTGATTTGATTCTTTGGAATTTTCAGTTTTTCGATGTTTTTAATTTTTAACTTTTTGATTTTTCGATTTGTCGACTTCTCGATTTCTCAGTTTTTCAGTTTTTTGATGTTTCAATTTCTCAACTTTCAGTTTTTCGATATTTAATTTTTTAAATTCTTAATTTTTCGGTTTTTTGATTTTTCAACTTTTTGATATTTTGAATTCTTGATTTTTCGATTTTTATAGTTTTTCGACTTTTAGATGTTTCCATTTTTTTAATTTGACATTTTTCAATTCTTACCTTTTTGATTTTTCGATCTTTTGATGTTTCGATTTCTCGATGTTTCAGTTTTTCAATGCTTTGATTTCTCGGTTTTTCAATTTTTTGACTTTTCGACTATACGATTTTTCGACTGTTTAGAATTTGGACTTTCGATTTCTCGAACTCGAAAAAGACTTTTCAATTTTTAAATTTCGATTTTTTGATGTTTCAATTTCTTGATGTTTCAGTTTTTCGATATTTTATTTTTTTCAATTTTAGGTTTTTCAATTTTTTATATTTTGTTTTATTGACTTTTAGCTTTTTAAAGTTTTTCGACTTTTCGATTTCTCGATTTTTCAATGATCTGATTTTTCACATTTTTCAACTTTATTTTTAAGTTTTTGATTTTTCGATCTTTTGATGTTTCGACTTTTCAATGTTTCAGTTTTTCAATTCCTCGATTTTTCGGTTTTTCAATTTTTTGACGTTTCGATTATACGATATTTCGATTGTGTAGAATTAGTATTTTTGATTTCTGGGTTTTTTGACTTCTCAATTTTTCAATTCTTCGAATTTTTGATGTTTCAATTTCTCGATCGAAATTTTGCAAATTTTAAATTTTTCTATTTTTTTTTAATTTTTCGATATTTTGATGTTTCGATTTCTTGACTTTTCGGTTTTTAAAATTTCTCGATTTCTCGATTTTTCAGTTTTTCAACATTTCAATTTTGGGAACTTCCATTTCTGGATTTTCCATTTTTCAAAATTTTGATTTTTCGATTTTTCCGTTCCTGAATTTTTCGATTTTAGTCGCTTTCAGTTCTTCATTGATCTTTTTATGATTCGATTTCTCGAGGTTCGATTCTTAGGTTTTTCAATTTTTTGACTTTTCTATTGCTAAAAATTTGGATTTTCAATTTCTCAGTTTTTCGATTTTTTGATGTTCCTATTTTTCAATATTCAGCCATTCCATAACGGAAACTATTTTGGGGCTACATTTTGACTTTGCGATTATTCGAATATCTGTAATGGATATTGTGCTTAAAGGTTTATATTTTACTGTACGTGTATTCAGTATGAAATATTTTAAAAAATAATTACGTTAAAATATCTTAAATATGACAAACATTGTATCAATGTTAAATCTTAAATAATTTATCCGAACTAAATGTGCTGTGATTTGATTTGATGTTGACACTTGCATAACCTTATAATAAGTTATTGAAAAGTGTCTCAGTTTAATCAGTTTTGTGTTAATAGTTATCACAAACGGTAAGTATTGGGGTGAAATACGTTAATTTTAGACTTTCAATGCATAGATGTCCCATCCGTTATCAAAAACGCGGATAAGTTAAGAACTTGAGTAAAACTCCGACTTTTAAATCAATTTGTTAATGCTTTTCTCTATTTAAGTACAAGTTCTTCTCAAAGTTTTAATCACTTAAAAATTAAATAACAACAAGTAAATAATTTGATTTTTTTAAATCTGTCCCGTCCATTATCATAATTCTGATCTTTAAAAACATTTTTCCTTAACTATTATTTTATCATGACGCTTCTTCATTTAATGTTATTCTAGGAATGAGTGTCGAGGTAGTACGTAAAGAAAAAGTACGGCAAGCAATGCGTCGCTACCGGCAGAGTATTAACACGGATCCTGTAAAAGCAAAGTGGTACCGCGAAAAAGATGCCCAAAGAAAACGCGCAGAAAGGGTTGTTGAAAGAAGTTTTCTTGTGAAAAATCCTACTCTACATAAAATTAAAAAACAAAAAGCAGCAGAACGTAAAAGAATCTACAGATTAAAACTAAAAGAAACAGCAAAACAAAAAAAGAAGCAGTATTTCCATATAAGTGTCGTCAATCATTGGGAAAAGCTGTGAAGAAAGTAAAAAGCGTGCTGCCCGCGAGTCCTCGTAAACGAGAGGCAGTAATTAAACAACTGCTTCTTCAAATACAACCTGCAACCTCAAAAGCATCTACATTTGCAACTAATTCAGCGCGGGCCCTTACGAAAGAAGAACAAAAAAAAAATCGTCGATTTTTATCTTCGTGATGATATCAGCAGACAGGCGCCTGGAAAAAGAGACACGAAAAGTGTTAAAAACGTATCTTCCGGTAAAAGAGAAGTCTTTCAAAAACGTCATATGGTAATGGCAGTAAAAGAAGCATTTGTTTTATATAAAGTCGAATATCCAGATTGCAAGATACATATAAGTCAGTTCTACAGCATGAGACCTCAACATGTGTTATTGTCTTCTGAAACGCCTCATAATGTGTGCGTATGCAAATATCACGCAAATTTTAATTTTATTGTTGAAACACTTCATGAACTGATACCAATTTTTCCCGCAACTGGGAAAGAACTTTTAGAGCATATATGCTGCAATACTCAAAATGAAGTATGTATGTACCTAATTTTGATACTTGTCGTGTTTTTAAATAGTTTACGTTTGAATAAAAAAAATGGATTTTGTTTGTACCATCCGTTATGTCTAGTCCGTTATCAACACTAGTTGTTATGAAACATCGATACAATAACATACTACGAGCTATCAAAAAAAAATATTGTGCCAAGCAATTGTTCAATCTTAGTTTATTTCACATTTGTCAATTTCATAGTTAATACTTACAGTAATTCGCAAAAAATTCCGATTAAATTTACTAAAGTTTTCACGGTGGGTAATATCGTGTCCCATCCGTTATCACTTTTCAAAATTTTTTCATTGGTCACAACAGCAGCACGTGTCATCCATAAGCGAATATCAAAAGGCTTTATTAAATCTGCTAATATTTCTATATTTTGTTTTATTTATTATAACAATAATACTGTAAGAAATGCAAAATTAACAAATAATTTTGCATCCACATGTCCTGTCCGTTATCATGGAATGGCTGTATTATTTTTTTTTATTAATAAATTTTAGATTTTTTTATTTTTCAATTTTTCGATATTTTGAAGTCTATCAATAAATGGCCTTAAATTCATATTGTGTAAAATTTGTAACATTTTCCTCAATTAGAAATTCATCTAGTGAAACGAAGTGTGAAGGTGTTGTAAAAGTGTACCAATTGCGACATCTGATATGTTTCTGTCTTCGTCCGACACACTGTATTTACGCAAGTAAAGAATGTTTCACAAGAAAACTGACACTTTTCTTTTTTTTTATACAAAAAGATTTCAACTCCTGAACTACGTATAAATTACCTTTAGGCGTGGAGACGAAATCGCTCAACTCCCCGTCATCTTTCTCCAACTGATCCAAGGTTCTGGCTTCTCCCGTACTCTGCAAACCAATCACCACGCATTTTCCACTTTCTATAGCCTCGTGGGCTATCGTTACAGCCTGCCGAACCTTCGCTGCTATACACAAATATTTGAAAAATCTCTGGTGAGCGGACCAGAACAGTCTCCACATGATTTGTTTCTGTACACCGTCCATAACAATGAGTCTACTAGCTTCTTCAAACTTCACCATGGCTTCTACCCACACCTGCGTGCTAGCGTTGTAGACGTCTTCGAATTCTTTAGTCAGAGGAATTTCCTCGATGCGAAAAGTTACACCGTGGAAGCTTAATTGTCGTGCGATGTACGTACCTAAATTACAATCACAGAATTATTATTTATTCATTGTTTTTAATTCGAACTGTCACTTTCAAACCACCGCACAAAATATCCCTAAATTGTGACGTCGGTTAGTTGCACCGCCAACTTAATTTGACAGTGAAGTAGATCAAGCTGGCGGTGGTTAAGGGGACTCGCTAGACGAGGTATAACATTTTTTTGGTTTTTTGTATGAAAAAATGACATTAATATAGATGTGTCATACATCAAACTGCAGCTTTTTTCATATTCTAGGGCGCAGAGACCAGTTCAATCAACTAAAAAAATATGGCTGAGAAATATCGTAAAAAAGCAGCATTTTATGTTTTCTTTTAAAGTTTTTTGAGTCATAACCATCATAAAATCGCTTGAAAATCACTTTTTACAGGGCGCAGAGTCATTAAATGTTTGTTAGTGGTACAATTTGTTTAAATAATAATGTGTTTATTAAAATCAAAATATACCACAAATTAATGCAAAATACGTCGAATAATTTTAACAGGAATATCAGAGGAAAATTAATGATCTATTGGTTAGCAGAGTTTTTAACCAAAACTAACAGTTATTGAAAAAAATGGGTATCAATTCGACAGAATTTGAGCAGTTAGTTCAGTACTTTGCCGATAGGAGCGCCACTAAAATTTACGGAAGCGACTGTCAGGTAAAACCCTTATCGCCTGCTTTACCATAAGCTGATTGTTAGAGTTCTCGGCTGATTTTTCTAATTTATGGCAAGGAACTCAGCTTTATAACAAGCCGCCAGGACCGGCCGTAGTAATCTATTGTTAAGAAAATTAACTTTTACGCAATGAGGTACTATCATAAAACCGAATTAAAACTGGGGAACTATAATATTTTTACTCCACTCAGGATCCTGAATTCAATACACATGATTACTAAAAATTCATTGTAATATTATTGTTAATATATATTTTGCTTTCTTAATTACTAAAACTAATAAACATATTTATAATAATAATAAAAAATATATAAAATACAGCTTTTGTTTAACACGTATAAGTAGCTAAGTGTATCTACTACTTATCACAGAAAGGAGGTGTTTTAAAAAAGCCCTACGCCCAGTAACTTCTCCCTTCATTGTTTACTCGAAAAAAGTGCTCGTGTATGTTTTCATTTGCCGAGAGATCATTTTCAAAATATATTTATAATAAAAATATGCAAGTCTTGATGATGAAAAATGTACTCCCAATAAATTATTAAATTACATAAAAAAATAGAAACAAATTTTATTTATTTTAAAAAAATCTCTCCCAAAGGCAGGTTCCTCTTTCTTCTTGAATCAATTATTTCGGGCAATAATGCGCCAAAGCAAAATCTGCCAAGTTTATCTGCCGTCTTTTTACATATGTTTCTTCGTCTTTATAAATTTTTTCTATATTTATTCCATTGGGTCTCCATACAACAAAATAAACTTGTGAAATACCCGTAACAAGCATTTGTCCCTGGACTTGAAAGTAGTAATCATGATTCTTTTTTTAGTTTCAATTCTCTGTCTGTCAATGTACAAAATTTGATTATTTTTTTCTAACCGCTTCTTCGGGAGACAAATCTTGCGATTTTGAAGGGCATTTAATTTCGACTAATGCACTCCTATCCTCTAGAACCCTGTCTGGACTAGCAGCCAAGTAAGGAAATTGTTTTGAAATAAACAAGCCACACCGTTCAGTTTTTATATTGTTATTTATTTCAAAACACTTGACAGCTTTTTCCTCAATTTGCTGTCCATAGTATGTATAACTGTTACCTCTAAATGTACTGTACAACAGAGACTCCAGTTTTAGCTATTGCTGTACTTGGTCTAAGTTTGTAAATACGTCCAAAATTTGAAGCCCTAACCCTAGTTTCTCTTTCTTTTGCCCAAATGTGCCTGTTGCCTAGTGTCTATTTAAATTTGGTCTAAATTCAAAGATAATTTTCTCAAAAAAACCTCTTTGGCTGTCACAAATGTTTCTACATCCATGACAGGATTTTCTAAAAAATATTTAAACTATAATCGCAGTCGGAACCAGCATACGTAAATTTTTTTGACATATTTTTTTACGAATACCTTGTCTAAGACGAGCTTGTTTTATAGACGAACAATATTTTATTGTTATTAAACCAGGATCGTTTTAATCACAATATATTTACTTATCCTCTCTAAAAAATTGATGACGTCACCTCAAAATTTTGCTGAATAAATCCTATCTAAATTGTATAAAATATGATGAGTCTCTTCTTGTGATTTATCATTCCATTCATGTTTTTTGAATTTGCATATACAGGATAACCCCAAAAATTAATGAATGCGTAAATTTATTTTATTGATTTAATCAGAAACAACAGAACCCAATGCTTTGAAATCTTGCAAATGTTTTAAGGTTATAAAGAGCATAATAAATTTTTAGTCCAAATATATTTGCTTATCCCATTGATAAACTGATGACGTCAGCTCAAAAGTTTGCCGTATAATCCTATTTAAAATTTACAAAATATGATGAGTCTCTTCTTGTAATTTATCATTCCTTTCATATTTTTTGGATTCGAATATACAGGGTGACTAAAAAAATTTAATGAATGCGCAAATTAATTTTATTGATTTAATCAGGAACTACAAAACCGAATGCTTTGAAATCTAATGTGAAAAAAAAAATCATAATAGGCATGCAGTCGTCACGTTTCCGATGGCGAGGAAAGTACTGTCTAAACTTTTTAGACTAATTTTTTTGATTTTCCCATTTTTCCATTTCTCAATTTTTCAATGTTTCAGTTTGGGATTTTTTCACTGTTTTGATTGTTTAATTTTCCTTCCATTTTTAGGTTTTTCAATATTTCAGCCTTGGAATTTTGTAATATTTCGTTTCTTCAATTTTTCAAATTTTTGATATTGTGTTTTCTCGGTTTTTAAATTTTTCGATATTTTAATTTTTCAGTTTTTAAAGTTTTAGGCTTTTAGATTTCTCACTATCTCAACTTTTCGATTTTTCAGTTCCATGATTTTTCAATTTGTCGAATTTTTAAATTTTAGATTTTTTGTTCTCGATCATTCAATTTTCTGAGTTTTCAGGCTTAGATTTTTTTTGTTGTTCAATTCTTGGATTTTTAAAATTTTTGTTTTTTAAATTTTCCTATTTATCAATTTACTGGGATTTCAATGTTTTGATTTCTTGATTGTTCAATTTCTCGATTTTTTGAATTTTTAGTTTTTGATACGATTTTTTTTTCAAAAATTTTCAGTTTTTCAATTTATTAACTTCACGATATTTCAGTTTTACGATTTAAAATTTTTTTTATTTTTCAGTTTTTAATTTTTGACGTTTCTAAATTTTTCGATTTTTCACTTTTCCGATTAACTGATTTTTTGATTTTCCCATTTCTCTATTTCTTGATTTTTCAATTCTTTCTTCAATTGTGATTTTTCAATTTAACGATTTCTGGATTTTTTAATGTTTCAGTTTTGGATTTTTTCACTTTTTCGATTCTTCAATTTTCTTTCCATTTTTGAGTTTTTCAAGATTTCAGTTTTGAATTTTTTCACGTTTTCGATTTTTCAATTTTCCTTCCATTTTTCAGTTTTTCAGTATTTCAGTTCTGAGATTTTGCAATGTTTCGGTTCTTCAATTTTTCCATTTTTTGATGTTTCGATTTCTCGGTTTTTCAATTTTTCGATAGGTATTTTAATTTTTCAATTTTAAAGTTCTAGATGTTCCGTTAATTTTTTGTTTTCCTTGATGTTTCGATTTTTAAATTGATTAATTTTTAGATTGTTCAATTTCTCGATTTATAAATTTTTCAATTTTTCAATTATTAAGTTTTCGATTTTTCAATTTTGGTGTAATTTGAAAACGGTATTAAAAATACATTTAGGCGAAGAAACTAATAGACGGGCTTGATAAGCCTTGTTTGCTCTACAGTGTCTAAATTGTGTTTGAATAATATAATAATTATCTCGAATATTAAAATTAATATGTCAAAAGAATACGAGAAATGATTATTCTGTGCTGAAGGTATGTTGTGGGCCGCCTGTCATAAATTATCATTATTCTGCATTATCGGCTTACGATACTTTTATGACTCACGTCCGGTAGTCGTCTATCCCAGCGCGTCAGGTAGATTAAAAGAAGAATTGCTGGTTGCGTTTAAGGCAACAAATGGCGCCCAATTCAAACTTGTCTCTCGTCTAGCGTTCCCCCTTAATTGTCAAACTATTCTTGATAACCAAAAACACCAACTTACCCCGTAGTTTCATGTCCATGGCCACGATCTCCATCGCCCCCACCCCCCTCTTCTCCACCGCCGCAATAAAATTGTCGAACGTCGCAAACGAAGTGCCTTTCCCCCACAGCCCCAAGCGCGCCATGTACGCCATATTCCGGGGCTCCGACGCCCCCGTGGCCGACGCATACACCACCCTCGCCTTGGGCAAGCTCATCTGCAGCCCCAGAACCGCCAACCCTGCAACCAATCCCAATCACCACAAGTCAAACCACCCCTCAAACATACCCGTCTTCGTGGGCTTCTTCTTCTCCTTAGTCTCCTTCTTGTCGAGGTTGAGCGCCCCTTCGGGACACAAATTCTTAGCCCTGTGACACTCATCGAACACCACAACCCCGTCGAAATCCTTCCCGCACCACTCCAACAGTTGATCCAACCTCGTCTTGCACACCCCATTCACGTTGCTTTTCCCGATCAGAGCCGAGTACGTGCTGAACATAACCCCTTCTCTGACAGGCCGAGCCGAGGTCGAGATGGTGCCGTACTTGAACTTGTTCAGCTGGTGGACCTCGATCGAGTCCGCCCCGATGTCGCTCAAGTCGCGCTCGGCGTCGTATTTCAGGTCGGTCGAAACCGACACCCAGATGGCCTTGACGCGCCCTTTGAGATAGTTCTCGAAGATCACTCCGGCGATGGTGCGTCCTTTGCCGACGCCAGCGCCGTCGCCGACGAGAAAGCCGGCTCTGGTGCCGTCCGGAAGGATGTTCTCGTGGGCCTGGCAGGCGTAGGTGACGCTCTCGAGTTGCAGGGCCGAAAGGGCGCCGGAGTCGATGGTGGCGGCGGGGAGAGAGAGCTCGTAGGAGATGTCCGCCGGGGCCACGGAGGAGAGAGACGTGGTTTCGACGACGGGGTCGGGGTGTTTTTTGCCGAGTTTGAGCTTGGAGGGCATGTAGTCGGCGTAGGTTTCGGCGACGCCGAGCTCTTCGTCGTCGACCTGGGGGAAGGAGTCGCGGAAAATTGTGTCATTGGATTCCTTTCTTTTAAACTCGATCGTACTTAATAGTCGATTTTTTTTTATTATAAACATATACAGTCAACGTTAAGAAGTTAAGGGAAGTTAAGATATATTTTAACTTTCCAAGCGTAAGCGAAGGAAGTATTGTAATTGAGTCCGTCGACCGAAAAGAAAATAGAGGGTGGGTGGGCGGGGCTAGTATTTTATAATATAAGACTGATATTGGCACTTTTGACATTTTCGACCATTTTTCAACTATTTCCGAAAATTTCCACTTCCACTCGACAGAAGAACATAATTATCCCCGCCCACCCGCCCTGTCTACTTTTCAGTAATTGATTTTATCCGAACTGAATGAAATGAATTTTACAACACATATTATTTACGATTAGCGTTTTTTTACGTTTATAAAATTAGTCGTTAGAATGAGCAGCTTAGCTTTAGCTCTTGCTAAAATACGACTGATTTTGGAAATTTTCGATTTTTCAATTTTTTGATTTTTCGATTTTGGTCTCTTTTTAAATGTCTCAATTTTTCGATTTGTTGACTCCTCGATTTTCTGATGTTTCGATTTCTTGATGTTTCAGTTTTTCAATTTTTCGATTTCTCGGCGTTTCAATTTTTTTTACTTTTCGACTTTACGATTTTTCGATTGTTTAAAATTTGGATTTTTGATTTCTCGGTTTTTTGAATTCGATTTTTAAATTTTTCGATATTTTAGTTTTTTTTAATATTTGTATATTTCAATTATCCGATGATTCAGTTTTACGGATTTTTCAAATTTTCAATTCTTGACATTCCAAAATTTTCAATGTTTTGATTTCTCAATTTTCCGATTAAGCGATTTTTTGATGTTCTCATTCCTCGACTCTCCATCGTTTCATTGGAGGGTGTGTGGGCAGGGCTAGTATTTGATAATATAAGACTGATATTGGCATTTTTGACATTTTAGATCATTTTTCAACTATTTCCGAAAACTAGTTGAAAACATTTTCTTGTAGATCGCTTTTTTACTTCCCGAGCGTAAGCAAAGGAAGTATTGTAATCGAGTCCGTCGGCCGACTCTCTACTTTTACGTTTTCTCGATCTTTCATGACCCCTAGAAGACGAAGAAATAGGTCTCCCATTTCCGTCTGTCTGTCCGTCTGTCCGTCCGTCTGTCCGTCTGTCCGTCTGTCCGTCTGTTGTCCCGGATTTTTATTAGACAGATAATCTCCGAAAGTACTCGACCGATTGTTGTGAAATTTTGTACTTATATTAAGAATATCATGTAGATGGTAAAACGCTAACCAAAATTTGTCTAATCATCCCCACCACTAAAGCGATGACGTCACTTCAAAATTGTACATAGTAAATGGGTTTTCAATTGTATAAAATAACATAGTCCTACACATGTAGTTTACAACTCTGAATCGACTTTTCACCCGAAACGTCCAGATTTTTGGAAAAAAAATCAAAATTATAAAACAACATTTTGAAATTTAATTTTTAATCTGCTAACCAGAATGCTTTGAAATGTTGCAGATGTTTTAAGGCTATAAAGAGCATCATAAATCTTTAGTAAAAAAATATTTGCTTATCCCCTCCAAAAACTTGATGACGTCAGCTCAAAAGTTTGTGGAATAAATCATATCTAAAATGTACAAAATATGATGAGTCTGTACTTGTGATCTATCACTCCATTCATATTTTTTGGATTTGCATATACAGGGTGACTCAAAAAAATTAATGAATGCGTAAATATATTTTATTGATTTAATCAGGAACTACAAAACCGAATGCTCTGAAATCTTGCAGATGTTTTAAGGTCATAAAGAGCATAATAAATGTTTAGTCAAAATATATTTGCTTATCCCCTCCAAAAACTTGATGACGTCAGCTCGAAAATTTGCCGAATAAATCATATCTAAAATGCACAAATATGATCAGTCTGTACTTGTGATCTATCACTCCATTCATATTTTTTGGATTTGCATATACAGGGTGATTCAAGAAAATAAATGAAAGCGTAAATTTATTTTACTGATTTACTCAGGAACTACAAAACCGAATGCTTCGAAATCTTGAAGATATTTTAAAATTATCATAAGCATGGTAAATTTTTGATCAAAATGTATTTGGTCGCCCCCCTAAAAAATTTATGACGTCACCCCAAAATTTTGCTGAAAAAATGCCATCTTCAATGTGTAAAGTATGATGAGTCCATACTTGTGATTTATCACTGCATTAAAATTTTTAATATTTGCTTATACAGGGTGTCTGAAAAAAATTAATGACGGAGTGAATTGATTTTGCAAAACTGAATACTTAGAAATCTTGACGTTTTGAAGTTATTGTAAGCATGGTAACTGTTTAATCAAAATGTATCTCTTTATCAACCCCAAAAAAAATTCATTACGTCTTCTCACAATTTTACTGAATAAAGTATATGATCTGACTACACTTGTAACTAATCATTGCATTCAAATTTTTTAACTTGCTTATACAGGGTGACTCAAAAAAAGAAATGAATCAGTCACTTTATTTTAGTGAATAAATCAAGAATTGCTAAACTGAATATTTTGAAATCTTGCAGATGGTTAAAATTGATTGTGAGCATGGTAAATTGTTAATGAAAATATATCTGTTTATTCCCCCGAAAAAATTCATGACGTCATCTACAATTTTTGCCAAAAAAGTTTAACTCAAAATGTGCAAAATATGATGAGTTTTAACATAAGCAACTGTGGCCTGTGGTTTAGTGGAGGTGGAGTGTGCAGTGCAATTAGAAGTTCCGGTAACAGATCCCGGCACTTCCAACTTTTTTCGCCCATCAAATCAAGAACAGCACTTTCGATTTTCGCAACAATAATGTTATAATATTTATTTATTTGTTATTGTGTGTTCGTGAATAAGCACCATAAATAGCAAATGTTGAAATTTTTTTTTTGTGATCGGAAGAATATCTCTTAATCATTATATATATTGTCAATACATGATTAACTTCGACTGTTAATGTTTATACATCGAGAGAAGCAGAGAACAAGTACATACGCATTTGCTTCAGTTACGCCACTGACCGTGTCATTTCTTTATCGCACGTTGAGACATAGTTTATATAAACAAACTCCCAGCCATAGCAAAAAGCGGAAGTTGGAAACGACGAGCGGCGCGGGGTTTGGGTGGCGAGACGAAACAGTTGCGATTGCGAAATGCGAAGCCAATTCGAAAAAAATTGGTCTAAAGAGTTTAGACAGTACTTCCCTCGCTGTCGGAAACTTGACGACTGCATGCCTATTGTGTTTTTTTTTCTCATTACATTTTTGTAGTGGGAATTTAAAAAAAAATTGCGATGACGTCATCAACATTTTTGCAAGGACACGTATATCAGTTGGGATAGATGTAGTGTAATACTAAGAATAAAATTATTATATTCTCAAATTTTCGGGAAAATGAATTGGGTCGTTTGAATATTGATTTGTAATAATCAATAAAATAACGAAACAATTTACTCACGTATACCTACGTATCAGAGGCAACTGAAAATCGTGTATGTATAAACATTGTTAATTTAAGATGACAGGCGTAACAGCATACGTGAGAGCCAAACACAGAAACTGTAAACAAAACGACCGTCGGTTTTATTGCTTCGACTTCCGCTTATTATATAAAACATTGGGTTTTATTTTAATTCTTGACGGTGAAATTCACAATTGGTTGATTATAAACATGTCTATTTCACATTCGCGGAATCAAGTGAACGCATAAAACAAATGCAGGTCTGTAATGTTAAAGTCGATGTAAATAAGCGTGCTACCCTTATGTTTCAACCGAGTTTTTCCTTTAACAAATTTTGTGTCTACCAAATTGGGTTGGTTGGGGTGTAATACTAATAATAAGTGTTGCCTTTAATTTAATCAATAAAATAAATTGACTTCATTAATTTTTTTGAACCACCTCTTAAGAAAATCTAAAAAATATGAATGGAATGATAAATCACAAGTACAAACTCATCATATTTTTTGCATTTTAGATAGGATTTATTCAGCAAAATTTAAGGGTGACGTCATCAATTTTTTTAGGAGGGATGAACAAATACATTTTGAACAAAAGTTTACCATGCTTATAATAACTTTAGAATATTCCCAAGATTTCAAAGCATTCGGTTTTGTAATTCCTGATTAAATCGATAAAATAAATTCACGCCTTCATTAATTTTTTTGAGTCACCCTGCATATGCAAATCCAAAAATATGAATGGAATGATAAATCACAAGTACAGACTCATCATATTTTGTACATTTTAGATACGATTTATTCGGAAAACTTTTGAGCTGACGTCATCAGTTTTTTGTAGAAGATAACCAAATATATTTTGACTAAAAATTTATTATGCTCTTTATAACCTTAAAACATCTGCAAGATTTCAAAGCATTCGGTTTTGTAGTTCGTGATTAAATCAATAAAATAAATTTACGCATTCATTAATTTTTTTGAGTCACTCTGTATATGCAAATCCAAAAAATATGAATGGAGTGATAAATGACAAGTACAGGCTCATCATATTTTGTACATTTTAGATATGATTTATTCGGCAAACTTTCGAGCTGACGTCATCAAGTTTTTGGAGGGGATAAGCAAATATATTTTGACTAAACATTTATTATGCTCTTTATGACCTTAAAACATCTGCAAGATTTCAGAGCATTCGGTTTTGTAGTTCCTGATTAAATCAATAAAATATATTTACGCATTCATTAATTTTTTTGAGTCACCCTGTATATGCAAATCCAAAAAATATTAATGGAGTGATAGTTCACAAGTACAGACTCATCATATTTTGTACATTTTAGATATGATTTATTCCACAAACTTTTGAGCTGACGTCATCAAATTTTTGGAGGGGATAAGCAAATATTTTTTGACTAAAGATTTATGATGCTCTTTATAGCCTTAAAACATCTGCAACATTTCAAAGCATTCTGGTTAGCAGATTAAAAA